ATAACCCGCGTTTGTCTCATTCGATAGACGGGCATTTACTGGATAATGTGGGATCATATTGTGACCTTGGTGTTACAATTACTGAAAATTTAAGTTGGTCGGAGCATATTTCAAACATCACTAAAAAAGCGAATAGTAAATTATACCTACTTAATAAGACTTTTACAAAAATATCCGGCAAACATTAAAACTTGAAACAGATTAACTAGAGAAATTCCTATTAGTAAGGGTTAGTAAGGGCCTAAAGCAAGACTGCTGCATAGCACCTACACTCTTCAAAATATATCTAAATGAGGCACTCTCACTGTGGAGAAGAAAGTGCTGCAATATGGGCATCCCAATCGGAGATGATAGATTGTACACGATACACTTCGCTGACGACCAAGCAATTTTAGCTGAAAACGAGAGTGATGTAGGCTACATGCTTAGAAAACTGGAAGATGAGTACACCAAATGGGGCCTCACAATTAATATACAAAAAACTGAGAACTTAGTTGTAGGAGAAAAACCAGAAAGCCTACAAATAGAAATGGGAACTATAAAACCAACAGACAATTTTAAATACTTGGGAGTCCAAATAACATCAAAAGCAGGAAGTAGCGAAGAAATACATTCCAGGATTGGCCGAAGTCATTTCACAGCCTTCCAGGGCTGTGAAATGACCAAGTGGAAAGGTCAAGTAACTGGTCTTGGTCACTACAAATGTGAGGGGAGCACGACCAGTGAAACCGAGACAGCTCAGATAGATAGAGTGCGGCGTCGGAGCACCGGGTGGGCGCCGGACTCCGCTGCCGGACGCTGAAAGGCGCAGCAACCGTTCCCAAGTGCTGAGCCTTGCTCCCACTCCTTATACTTTCCTACCCAAACAAACGTAAGCTAAGGCGTGAGAAACAGTGCTGAGGGCTGGATGGCCACACGTAACGTGGTCACGAACGATTCCCTTGGGAAAACGGGCAAAACCCCATTGAAATAAGCCTTATTAACACACGCGGAGCTCTGTGGGAATGGACCGTACTTCCCTAGCTACTCGTGAGATTTAGATGAATCGAATAACACAAACAAATACAAAAAGAAACGAAGACAAGAGTTGCAGAGGTGTAAGGAAGAGGGTAAACTCCCTCCCGGACCTACCTCAAAAAATCACGGAAACAAAAAGGAAAAATGATTCAACAGAGGCAAATGAAATATTTAAAAAAAAGAATGCTGTGAATACTTCACTATTATGAAAGGGCTGGAGACTTATCAAACACTAGTACATGAACTCACCCGATTAATGGCGGAGGTTTCCAATACCCATAAAGACATAAAAGAGGTAGCGGCAAAATTGGAAGAGTGGTTGAAGAAGCACCGATACGAGCCAGTTGAAAAGAGGATGATGGAAGCTGACACCCAGACCGACTCATAGCATCTAGGTCCGAAACGAAAAATAACAAACATAGAAAAAATCACGACCTTTGAAGACTGGGAGGCCATAGTGGGTCACGAGTGGGAGGAAAAAGTTTTTAATAACACCAAAGTAGTCATCGGAAATCCGATCGAAACAGGCAACAATATTACGAAAGTGGTCCTAGTTGAGCCAAAGGATGCGTCCATGAACAACAACATCCAAAGATTGTACAGGGATAGATACCCGGAACTGTCTGGTCTAGGACCCATAAAGGTCCTAGTACAGTCAACCATAATAAGAAATAAGGAGACACATACTAAAAAGATTATAAAAATCAAGCCAACAGGGGACCGGAAAAATCTTTGGGAAAACCTCATCAATGTAAAAGAAGAGATGTGTCTGGGAGGTAAAGTGGCGTTACACCACGTCAGATACCTCACCGTCGGTGACCTCAGGAAGATGTGTGAGGTCATCTTTCAGAAGACTGAAACAGAGGTGCTAGTCTATACAACAACACAACGTAAAGAACGTCCCACGTATGGTATGATAGTCTCCAAAAAAGATGGAGATTATAATCAGATCCTGCAAACGATAAAAACGGCCGTTAAGACGACTGGAGCCACGGAAGCAGTCAGGTCGATGAGGAGTACCAAAGATGGTAGGCTCCTCATCACCCTAGAAAAGGACCAGGCGGCCCTAAACAAAATTAAGACATCATTAAATAAAAAGGAGGACGGTTTAAGGGCCTTCCAGTTAGGGGATGAAGGAAAGAACTTAACCCTACACATTAGGGGTATGTCAGCGGATGCCACTAAAGAGGAAATAATAGAGGCCTTCAATAAACAAGGCAAATGGGAAGACACATACAAAATAGGTGAACTAAGACAACTCAGGAGACACTCAGGCAACCACACTGGTAGTTCCTGTGAGGGTGGCGGAAGCTATCCTCGGGAGAGGGTATATCAGAGTGGGTATAGTCAGATGCCATGTAGAAAGACGTTTGAGAGTTATCAGATGCAGTAAATGTTGGGCCTATAGCCATGAAACAGCGAGCTGTAGAGGACCAGATCGCAGCGACATGTGCTATCACTGTGGAGGGAAAAATATTGGCATAAAAGAATACCTCCCCTCCCACCTAGTATACCCGTAAAAACAAACGTGCAGGTACCTACCGAAGTAGTCAAGGTCTTCAAAGACCCTCTTATGATGGAGTTTTCAAAAGCCTGCGACGAAGTAAGTATGACTCTCAGCGAGGCTCCGACACCTGAAGGAACAAGCCAGAAGGTGTACGAATTGTCGCCGGATAGTGTCCAACGAATTATCCTTTGATAGTCACAATAATAAACACCATTAACCCATCTACGTGACCTAATACGCTAGTGGTAGATATCTAAAAATGGCTGCGAAACGGACAAAGAGACTAAAAATATTACAAGTCAACGCCGAGAGAGCAAAGGTAACACACGACTTAATTTACGCGAAAGCCTTGGACATAGAAGCAGATCTCTTGATTGTCCCAGAACCTAATAAGAGGATAGCTACGAATAAAGGCTGGATATATGATAATAACATCGATGTAGCGATAAAAATACTAAACAAAAATGTGTGCATTAATAAAATAGTAAAAAAAAGAGAGGTATGTAACAATAAAAATCGACAAAATAACGTTAATAACATGCTATATTTCTCCAAATATTACTAGAGAGCGTTACGGAAAATATAATCGACACGTCGCAGAGGGAGAAACATTTTCTAGTAGCCGGAGACATAAACGCAAAATCCATCCTATGGGGATCCCCCCGAAACGACGAGAGGGGTGAAATTTGGAATGAGCGGATCTCCGCAGCGGACCTCATAGTGTTAAACAATGGAAAACCAACCTTTGTGAGAGGTAAATCAAAAAGTCACATATATGTCACCATAGCTAGCAATGGTATTGGCAATAAGATCAGGGATTGGGATGTACTGGATGAGAACCTTTTCACCTTCCATCGGTACATCACGTACGAAATTGGTACCAAGATCAGAAAATATGGCAGGAAGAGAACAATATTTGATAACGAAAAATTTAAAAGAGAAATAAATAACCTACAAGAAGAAACTACCAACTTTAATGAGTTACGAGAAAATATAAACGCACATAGAAGAAGTACCATAAATAGGCACACCACATATACAGTACCTTACTGGTGGAATGACCAGATCCAAGAAGAACATAAGGAGGCATATAAGAGCGCCAAAAAAGAATTAAGTATTGAAATTAAACGGGTCAAATGCACATGTTGGCAGGGTTTGTGTGCTGCGCTGGAAGAAGACATATGGGGTGAAGCATATAAGATTGCCATAAAAAGCCTAAGGTTCGAGATCCCATATAACCTTAGTACAAAAAGAAAGATGGAAATAACGAACACCCTATTCCCAAGCAAGCCCGACAACACATTCCTACGGATAGACAACAATATTAGGCCTGCAGAGTTCACTATCCAAGAAATTATCCAAGCAGCAGAAAGTATAAAGGCAGGAAAAGCACCAGGACCGGACAAAGTAACACCAGAAGCAATAAAACTGGTAGTAAAAGAGAAACCCGAACTGATGAGCAGAATATTCAATGAACTGTTGAATACGCAAGAGTTCCCAGATAAACTGAAATTGGCGAGACTCGCATTATTAGCAAAACCCAGAAAGAACCCGGATGAAGCCGGAAAATGTAGTTCAGAAGGCTGAACAGAGAATCGCTGCTATGACAAAGATTATGCCAAATATAGGTCGACCAAGTATCTATAAAAGAAAAATGTATCTCCAGGTAGTACAATCCACACTCCTATATGGGGCACCTGTATGGCTCGATGTGTTGAGTTTAAAAAAATATAAGGAATTATTAACAAGAGCTCAAAGAAAACCCTTCTTGAAAGTAGTAAGTGCGTACCAGACTACATCAACGATAGTCCTACATGTGATTGCGGGTAAGCTCCCCATCCACCTCCTAGTGAAGGAACATAAGATAAAGGCTACAAGAATGGGAGACACAGAGAGAAAAAGCACAGTGGACGAAGATACTAATTCCAGACGTAAAACAGTGGTATCAATGTAGATTTAAAAGAATAAATTACTTTTTTACTCAATTCGGCTCTTTCAGGTTATACACATATCGCATAAGGAAAACTGAAGATGTTTCTGAAAAGCATGTATAGAATGCGGAGTGTGCGACGACGCAGAGCATTGCGTATTCCATTGCAACGTTTTCCAAGATAAACAACAAGATATGAGAGCAAAACTAGGAGAGACAACACCTGAGACTATAATGAATGTAGCCATGCAAAGCAAAGATAACTTCAACGTGATAGTAGACCTAATAAAAGAGATAATAAAAGAGGAAACGCGCGAGAGAGCGAGACAAGATGGGAGATGAGAGTGACAGAAGACATCATCAGTTCACCATCAATAGTTTGTTGTAAACCAGTCGGAGTGTAGCCAATTACATTATTGCACTTCAACTTTACTTAAAAATCATTATACAAATAAAACTTAACTGTAAACAAAGGTGAAATAATATATAAATGCCTTTTAACTCTATAAAAGTTAATCTACAAGTGGTAACTACAAAAACACTTACCGTAACATTATATTTGAGGGCAATACCTTGTAAGGTGTCAGTATTTGTTACATAGTGTTTTATGTAAGATTCATTCTTAGTTACACGCTTGTTAGTGCTACCGTATTTTTTTAGACATTGTGCGGATTCTCTTATACTTAATCTTTCATAGGATCCTCTATCCCATCTATCCATATTTAAATAAAATTTTCTTGGACAGATGAGAACTTTCACTATTGTAATACAATCTTTTTCTTATCACTGCACTAAATGTGATACACTTAATTCTTACGTCATATTCAAGTTAATATTAATACATGTAATGTTATTTCTTTCGGTGACTTGCTATTCAGCTGAAGACATTCATTAATTTATCTTTTGTTGGTTCCATCTTTAATATTCCTATCTTAACAGCTGATAACTTTGTCTTGTCTTGTTAACGTCATAATGACAGCAGCAAAGCTATCAGTTGTCATCGTCCTCTACTTTTGTAACATACCAAGGCCCTTATTCTTGAATCGAGAGAAAATTTTACTCCCCACTAAGCTAACTCGCTTTTCTACTCCATCATAATTTCTCTCGATTTTAAAAAGCTGTATTCTTGAATATGGGGAGTAGAAAGGAATGAGAGAAACTATGAACAGTGTTGCCGGGTGTTCGATGAAAATTTTAACCAATCACAAAAGTTAATTATTGACAAAGGACAAGATACTGTCAACCGTCAACCTGATCACTCCCCTAATCTATGCTGATGCTGTCACTACTTTTGTTTTTGTATTGGCTGTTTTATTAACACAAAGTTTTTTAAATTAAGTACAGGTTGTATTTTTCAAAATATTTTTCAGGTAAGTCAACCATCTTTTTTGAATATGTACACCTTAAGTTTTAACACTTCATAGCATGAAATTTACAAAATATAAAACCTCCAATTATAACCTCATTCTTTGTAAACAGAAGCATGGCACATATTTCGGCAGAGCAGAAAGAAATTATGTTGGAATTTATTAGAACAAGGCCAAAATTATATGCTGGGAAATTTTCGCCAGAATTTACTAGGCAAGATTCGAGGGCGTTATGGCAGGAATTGGCGACCATTCTAAATTCCCATTGTAATGGCGCCAAAAAAGAATGGAGTGCTTGGCGTAAGGTAAGTTATAAAAATACACTTATTATTTTTTAATAAAATTTTAAAATTCAGAACTAAACAACTTTTCATCATATAAAAATATTATCTCTTCTACTTCTATAAAAATAAACTTTTAAAATTCAGAAGTAAACAACTTCTCTACTTCTATAAAACATAGAAAAAACTATTTTCCACATTCCTTGTTTTCATTGTAGACCTGGATTGATATTAAAAAAAATTGCAAAGCAAAGGCTGCTAAAGTGAAAAGAGACCAAAGAGGTACAGGAGGAGGGCCAGCAACAAGTTCAGCTTCAGATGCTTTTGAGGATGGAGTTATAGAACTTCTGAGCCCTGTATCAATATTAGGGAATATGGAGGTACCAGAGCCAAATTTAAACTTAGAGGGTGAAACATTCCCAGTGAATATAGAAGAGGAGGAATCGGTAGAAAATATAAAGGTACGTTATATTGTATGTTTTTGAAGGTATTTCTTATTAAAATAGATAGAACCTAACAGTTTTAATTCAGGTCATACACAAAAGTCCAGCTTTTCTAATGAAGTATATTAAGTAGAAATGTTAAACTACACAGCTTATAGAACTGTAATCACAGCATTTTCAGTACAAATATTTACAGTAAAACAATATATACACATGATTATCTACTACTTAACTACAATCAGCTAAATAATATCTTGTTTTACAGCTCGAGCATCAATACGATGTATCAATCCATAAAGATGACCAACCATCATCATCAGGAAAACGTAAAACAAAAACTCAGAGATTGAATGAGTCGATAAAAAACCATTCAAAAATGGTAAAAATTGCAGAGTGTGGTATGCTTGACACACAAGCATACCGAGAAAAAAAATTAAAAATTATGAGTGATCAAACACAAGCAATAAAAGAACAAACGGAAGTCCTTAAAACAATTTCTAGGGAGCTAGATAGTATAAAAGGCTTCTTAAATGAACTAATTTAAGTTTTTTTTAATTAAATTTTTAAATTATATGAAGTTTTGTTTTTCTGTCCCTTCAATCCTAAACCTCTAGATAGAGTGTAGCAGTTATCTTATGTATGTATGCAGATACTATCAGTAGTGTTTATTATTACATCTTGGACATCCACTAGTTTGTTGTACATCATTTTTTTCAAGTTTAGTTTTAGTTCAACTTCATTGTTAGCTGCATTTAGGTCGCTTAGAAGTTCTGCAGGATTATTAGCAATCAAAACAATGTCATCTGCAAATCTCACATGGCTTATGTATTCTCCATCAAACGATAGACCTTTGTTCTGCCAGTTCATTTTGCTTGATATATTTTCTAGAGTTGCATGGAAGACCTTTGCTAAAGTCTCTATGTATGGATAGTCAAAACTTCTAGTACAGCCTTGTAATATATAGAATTTAAAGTCTGTTTAAAATCATTTTGTTATACAGCAGGATAAAATAATACATACAATTATTTTAGTAGCATAATATATTTGTAGCTTGGCCATATGAAATACAAGACAAATAATGAGATCAAACAATGTATCTATAAAAAAGAAGATTTTGACAGCAGCAATATCTAATACACCCACTTACATTTTATTTATTAATACAATTATACGTTGATTATAACTGATTAGCATACATGAGAAGTCTGAAGCAAAAAAGTTGGTTTGCTAAAAAAAGTCTAGTTGAAATAAAGGAATCAGTCATAAACAAGATTTATTGTCCTAGAGTATAATTAGAAATATAATAAATGTACATCTCTTTCTGGTCCACCCAGAACACAAGTCCACATTCTAGTATAGGACATATGATTTATTGGAGATGTTTAATGTCTTTTCACATGAAAAAAAAAAAAACATTCCAACCGAGTTAACATTGGATACAACAAAGTATAGCATATCTGTGGCTTGGAATAAAAAGGGCGGATGTCCATTTTTCTGTATTTTAGGTTCATATCATTTCTATAGTAAGCATATGAGATAGTTTCATTTAAAAAAAGTCAGATGTCCATATCTTTTACGGTTTTTAACTTTTGCAAAACAAAAAGGCGTAAGTAAATACTCCTTTTTACGTAAAAAGGTCGTATATGGGACACCCGCCCTTTCTTGCAATATAATGGACATAAGATTATTATGCTTCAGCACGTGCAGTTTGAAAAAGGCGGTAGTCCAACTGACATTCTCAAAACCTAACCTCAATTAATATATTAGTGTGCCTTGTTTCTTTGGCGTTTATAGAGTATTCTTTATTGTGAAATACTTATTTATACAGATGAATAGGGGAAAGAAAATATTACTATTGGCAAAACAGTGCACTAATCAAGAAGATGATAAAGAAAATTTAACTTATCTTTGTAAGTACATACCTGCATTATAAAGATACACATATAATATGATTAGTAATGATGTACTATTCCAAATTCTTTCCTTGCAGCAAATAATGAAAACATACAACTAGAATGTAAGTTTGCGGATTCTTTTGTTGCTCCTAATGTTATATTAGAATCACATGGAACTCCTATAGGTAAGATTTAGTTTTTAAATTGATTTTACTCTATACTACGAAAAAATGCTTTGATTTTAGAGAACATCAGTGAAGTTGTTTATTCCGCAAGTAATGCTGAAATTTCTCTAAATAATCTAGAACAAGAGGTACCCAGTAGTGGTAAAATTTACATTTTCATTTTGTATGTCCACTTAAAACTTATATATTTGTATTATTTTAGTTACAGAAGATATAAATCTTATCACTCCTAATACGTATGTTGGTAATGGTATGATTCATGCAGGTGAATCTCTGGGAGAAACTAATAGATTGCAGGTTTTACATGGAAATGATGATGGAGATGTGAACACCATGCGAAGTTCTAAAGGTAAGATGAGCTTAGTAAACCTTGTATCTATGCACTAGAGAACTAAACTAATTTTTTTTTAGGTGATACTAATGATTTAGATATGAATGATCTAAGTTACGATCCAACCTTAGATTTAGCCAATGATACAGAAAATGACAGTGAAGAAGGGACAGAAAAAATTGAACATAAAAATGATGGCCCAGTTTCTGGTAACGATACAGAACAAGAAGAGATTGATTCTCAAAATAGGAGAAAAACGACAAGGAAACGAAAATCAAACCCTAAGTTATGGAAAACAAACATTGCAAAGGCAAAAAGACTAAAAGGAGAAGAATATGTTGGATTTAAAGAAAACGTAAAAGCTGCTAAAGTGATGGGTATACCTTGCAATTGCAGAAAATTATGCCATACTAAACTTGATGCAAATGAACGATTTCAAATATTTCAAACGTTTTGGAAAAAAACTTATAGTTGGGAACAAAGACATCAATTTTTGGCACAAAGTGTTAATATTCGTCCAAAAGATAGACAAAGATCCAGAAATGGCAGTCAGTTAGGTAGGAGAAACTTTACTTACAGCTATGTTTTCAATATAAATAACAAAAATATTGAAATATGTAAAGTTATGTTTTTGAATACATTATCAATATCTGAAAAGGTTGTCCGTGGAGCAGTAATAAAGAAACTGCAATCGCCAGGAGGTTTAATTTCAAGTCCTGGTGAACCAATATCAGCACGAAAATTAGATGAAGAAAAGAAGCGCACTGTTATGGAACATATTAATCTATTTCCAAGAGTAGAAAGTCATTACAGTCGTAGCCATTCTAAGAGACAATATTTGAGTCCTGAATTAAACATTGCTGTAATGTACAAATTATACACTGATTGGTGTAATGAAGAACTCATACCCAAAGAAAAAATTGTAACAGCTAGTATGTACAGATTCATATTCTGCACTGAATTTAATCTGAGTTTTAAACTACCGAACTTGGATACATGTGATATGTGTGATAAAATTACATGTAGTTTACAAAACGAAAATGATGAGAATCTAAGAAAAACGATCGAAAATGCTAAAAAAATACATTTAGATGATGCAGAAACTCGCTATGGTCTAAAGAGAGTAGATAAAGAGAGAGCCAAGAAGGAAGGCTCAAACGAACGGGTTGTAATGATTGATTTACAAAAATGTTTACCGACCCCATTATTAACCAATGCAAAATCATTCTATCTTCGACAGCTATGGACGTTTAATTTTACTATTCACGACAACACTGCTGGAGAAAATCATTGTATGATATGGAATGAGACAATATCTGAGAGAGGTGGGAATCAAATAGCATCGTGTTTATTTAAGTGGATTCAAACTCTCCCAAATAATATAAAAGAAATTACTCTTTGGTCTGACAACTGCGCTGGGCAAAACAGAAATACAATGTTGTTTGCCATGTATTTGTACGTGGTTCAAAAATTTCCTCATCTTGTAATAAACCACAAATTTTTATTGACAGGCCATACACATATGGAAGTAGATGCAGTTCATGCTGTAATTGAGAAGAAAAAGAAAAGACTGTCTACAATGTCCATTCAAACTCCTAGAGAATGGGCACAGTTTATACGTACTTGCCAATACAGTAATAAGCCATTGGAAGTACACGAAATGTCCCAAAATGAATTTTTCAACTGGGCTAATTTATATTCTGTTCATGGAAAATTAATTGTTCGTAAAGTAAACACAGATGGAGAACCGTTTTTGAGTTCTAATATTGTTCATTTGCAAGTACGATCAGATAAACCTGGTAAATTACTATATAAAACGGAATTTCATGCAGCCTTTAAAGAAGTAGATTTTAAAAGAAACAAAAGACTGAACTTAGGTTTCTCGAATAATTGTTTAAAGCCAATAAGGGTAAATAGTTTAATTCCCATTAATAAAAAGAAATACGACAATCTTATGGTTCTTCTACAATGGGTGGACGAACAGCATAAAGATTATTATATAAACCTCCCACATTATACAAATCTAGATTCTGATGAAGACGACCGAAAATAAAATCTTTTATAAACTAAATAAAATTATTAATCTATGTTTTGTTATACCTTGAAAATAAAATTGTTCATTTTGTAAGAGGATTATTTATTTATAAAGTCGGATGTCCATAAGAATTAATTGTACACCAGTTCATTAAAAAAGGCGGTTGTCCCTTTATTTTATATTATTTATAATATTTCTAGCATACAAATTGTTTCAAACATAGGGATATTCCAATATTATCTTTTACAAATACATTGATGGTGCTGTATTAAGTAGTAAGCTTATAAACTACAAGCAAATGTGGTTAATATGCGGCCAAATATAAACAATGGCCGATTACTCGAGTTTACGTTTTGTGACACCCGCCCTTTTCATTCCAAGCCACAGATATGTGCATCAGTAAAATACCTAGGAATGTATCTAGATAAAAAAATGACATGGAAAAATCACATAGATTATCTAATCAAGAAAACAGAAAAAGGAATTAACATCTTACGGTCAGTATGTGGAACAAAATGGGGATCAGATCCAAATGTAGCAATCCTTCTGTACAAATCCTACATTGGGTCAATACTGGATTATGGTTGTTTCTTCTACAACCAAGCTTCAAAAAGTCAACTAGAAAAAATAGACACCAAAAGTACACCAATTGATTGTTTATTTGCAGAAGTAGCGGAAACTCCACTAAAATATCTCAAAAAGTTAATGTATCACTTGTTTGGATTAAAGGGCATTGTGGAATAAAAGAAAATGAAGAAGTAGACGAAGAAGCTAAAATAGGAAGTAGATCAGGTTTATATATTAAAATGATTAATAATTATGTTTTGTTGTAAGCGTCTAGCAGCTGCTAGATCTGGGTTGGATGTTGGTCGTATATTAACAACATTGCCAGCAGCATACATGCCATAATCTGGCTCTACAGGGTGAAGTTCGTCTGGTATTGGTACGTTGTTCTCTATACACATATTATGTAAAATGCAACAAGCATTTACAATTTTGCCACTGGTCGTAGGATTGTAGTGCAAAGTCCTGTATTTTAAAAGGCACCTAAACCGATTTTTCAGCACTCCATTACATCTTTCAATCAAAGATCGGATAGAGCACAACCTCTCATTGAACAGTTGCTCTCCTGGATTAACTGGATTTGGCAAAGGTGTCAAAAGCCATGGACGTGTTGGATATCCTAAAAATAAAGGATTACAAAGAACATGCAGTATGAGTATGTCATTCTTGTATCAGACTTATTATTCCTTACCTGAATCCCCTAACAAATAAAACACATTAGCAGGATTTCTGCGATAACACTGCTCCATATATGTTGAGACAGGAGATTGAGCCCATATGAATGCATCATGGGATGATCCAGGATATCTTGAATTCACATTCAGAATTCGTAAGTCATGATCACAAACCTGAAATATATTAAATATGTGTCAGAAGATTAATTGATATCATACTATTTAGTAGAAGATGAATAATTTGTAGACATGATTTTTAGTATGTCACAAATATTTATAATTGCTAGGTAGATGGCTGATAAACTTTAGCTAAAAAACTTTTTTAAGAAGACACTAATTAATTTATATATTTAATGGTAAATTTACCAGTTGCACATTTAAGGAGTGGTAACTTTTCCTATTAATGTATATGTGTTCTGGATGGTTTGGATCCTTTGGGGCCACTATTGCCACATGAGTGCAATCAATAATTCCCAAAATTCCAGGAAATCCATACAGGTCAAAGAACCTATAAAAGTAAAACAATTCTTTAAAAACTAAAACAAAATCAAAAACCATTTAGAAGGCTTGTTAAGATTTCATAGGAATGATAATTATTAATCACCTTGTACGAAGGGCTTCTCTTTCTTGTTGTGTGCTGGGAAATTTCACTTTCTGGTTCAAAATTTCAGGCCTGTTCAAAGCATTGGTAACTTCGACTATAGCTCTACTTGTTGATGCCTGACTTATTGAAATGTAGTGGTTAGTGCCAGTTATCTCCTGATGGCTTCCACTGGCATAAAACCTTAATGCAGCCAAAACCTAAAAGATAAAGAAATTAAAAATAGTCACTTATTGTATATGGTTTAACAACAGTATAAATTTGTGATAAATTTACTTACCCTTGTGGTTATAGAAAGGGCAGATGCTCTGGATTGTGGCAACATAAATGGTGATACCATTTCCACAACTTCATTTACCATATCCTTGGGCAGCCTAAAAATTTGTAAAAATTTTCTATCTGACAAAAGAAATGGGTTCGTCGGTTGGAGGACATCCCGGCCAATTTGAAGATCTTCAACTGCCTCCAAAACATCATTAAACATAATATTATTCCAGTAGAGCATATGATTGATATCCATCTTTTATTAACTTCCGCTTTTTAAAAAACAAAATACTTCCCTCTGTTTTTGAAAGGTTATGTATTGTTATTTTTGCTCCCATTTACAATTTCTCTTACCTACTATCAGTAGAAATTGTTATTCCCTTAGGGAGTGACATTTCTCTCACAGATTAGGAGAGTTTTTTTCAAGAATACAGCATTTTCGGTTTTAGGGAGCCACGCCTACTTTTACGTCACTTTCTCTTGCAATTTCTACTCCCTGAAATTCAAGAATAAGGGCACAATTCGAATATTTCTTGACCTTGACATACAAGACCAGGCACAAAGAAACAATTTTTGTTATAGCATAGAAGAAAAACACAATTATTGTTTATTATTTTGTACTTATACTGTGCGGACGATTTTCACATTTGGTCCCATTGAAGATAGCTTCAAATGGGTTTGACAGAATGAAATATTGGTGTTTCGTTTCGCAGTGTTGAAATTTACATACAAATGAAACATACGCAATTAAAAGCAATAAGATATTTAAAAACTAATATTTAACGATTACGAAAAAAAGAAAAAGTACAGAGTTTTAAAACATTTTTTAACAGTAAATAGTAAAATGTCAGTATATAAAATTTAAAATGCATCTGCAAAATGCACTGGTGGTTTGAGGATTCTGACTCTACTGCCAAATCTATCCGCTAACCTATCAAAGGGCAATTGCCAAAAAAATTTTCTAATAATTTATTACAACTACTATCAAACGACACAAATATTACTTCATTAATATTTTATATAAGGTATAAAATTGCAGAATTTATAAAATAATATGATAAAAATGTACCTTTTAAAAGCTGTATTTCTTTGTATTTGAAGCATATAACATATACATTATAAGAACATGGCAACACTGCCAACGCAATAATTCGTTCTGTGAAACTTAATTGACAGCCAACTTGAGGCTATCTGCTATCTTCAATGTGACCAAATGTGAAAATCGTCCAAAAGAACAACAAGAAGAAGAAAGTTCATATTATCACAGAACACTAATCACAACATATTGTAGGTTATGCTATACTAAATTTAAGGATATTAAAATGAATTTTACTTTAAATTACATCAAAGCTACTGTATTAAAACCCACAGCTGCTATTCAAAATATTGTACGGTTTGCGAGTAAAAAGACAAGCGGTAGTACAAGAAATTCGAGTACAAAAGTCAGGCCAAAACACAGAGGAATAAAAGTAAGTTTTCCATTGTTACATCGTTAAAACATAAAGAATACAAGTGAATACAAGGTTTGAATAAAATCTTTTGAGAATATATCATATGCTTGATAATATGTTTTATGACCTTTTAGAAGAAAAGGTATCTGAATATATTAAATTGAAACCTGAAAGCAAAGAATATACACTCATATGCGTCTATAATCTTTGCTGAAAGTGTCTGTTTATTACACATAATAATAAGTCATTGTTCATTGTTTTAATATATTATCAAATATTATTTTCTAGAAAAGCGTTCTGAAACTGTTTTCTTGTGACATTTCCAAGTTAAATAATATGTTTATATATAATATATAAAAAATACTTTAGTTGCTTCTATCTTAACATATTTTAATTTCTTAGTTATTCGTTAAGAAACTCTTCCACTGAATAATATGGTCTTTCACATAGATAGGCTTTTGTCAATTTACGAAACTTAAGAAAAGAAGTTGTAGATTTAAGTTGCAAAGGGAGATGGTTATATAATTTTTTTGTTGAATATAATATAGATAATATATAAAGAGGAAAGAGTTAAAATCCTGTGATTTTTGAAGTAGCTTCTGCAATGTGTTATTCTACTGAGGCCAAAACGATACTATATTGCTCTTTTTTGTAATTTAAAAATAACATCAGATTGGACAGCTATACTAGAATCCCAAAAAGGAAGACCATATCAAAGATGAGACTGGAACAAAGAAAAATTATGTTCTTTTATAAGTTTAATGAAAATGGACAAAATATTGTACCTAGTCTTATGTTAACTTTGTAATATTTGTATTTTTGTAATTTGCTATCTTTGCAAGAACTTTTTGTAAGTACTAATTCTTTTGAAAATTATTTTTATTTTTAATTTGTGAGAAGATTTGATTTATATTATATTATTTAGTTTAGTACATACAAATATTTTGTAATTTGGGCCACATAAGCTTTGCTTCGGGTCGATATCATTATATTATAATAATAATAGTCATGTTACTCATGTTATTCCCAAAAATCACCTAGTGAACATAAAACAGCTTGGTCTAAATAAACATCTTTATAAGGCCATACATAAAGCTGTACTCCTCGTGATGTCCAGATGTGTACGAAAATTTTTGGGAGATACTTCAGCATACCAAGTCACCCAGGGCTCGATAACACGGCAAGAGTCCCACCAGAGCTCAATGCTTTTGATACCGGAGGTATCTGGGATTAGTGAATTTTCTCGTTAGAGGGAGTGTCAGCCGTATGGCTAAATCTGAATGATACTCAAAAGCAAACTTAATTCCAAGCAAAAGCAATCAACACACGCAATACCACCTTTCACATAGTCCTCATTTGGCATTATACAATTGTCAAATACGGAAACTGAAGAACTAAATAGACCAAATAGAACCATAATAACTAAATCTTTTCGGTGCCATTTCACCACACTAATTATGGTATCAATGAACCAACTACACGATTGGTCCAGAGTGCTAATAGCTTGCCAAGATAAATAGATATTTTTGACTCCAAAATCAGTTTGTTTAAAAAACAACTAAATAATATCTTACAATAAGTTGGTTGTACATCTGTATTATTCTTATATGTTTGTATTACTTGGAGGTGTTTGTTATTTTAATAATTTATTGTTGTTAAGGTGTAACTTTTTAAAACTTGTGATTGTTATTTTAATAATATATTGTTTTTAAGATGTAACTTTGTAAAAATTGTAAGTAAATGGATGCCGTATATAAATAAATAAATAAATAAATACACATCAACCACTCCAAATCATACATCCAACGTATGACTATCACGCACACAAGGCGGGAGAAGAACCGGGTGTTTGGAAATATCACCCACTACTTTAAAATAAAAAAAAACAAAAAAAAAACAAAGACAAAAATATATACCTACAGCAGCAATTAGACCGATGATAGCATACAGAGCGGAAGTAATGTGTCTTAGGTAAAAAGATGAAGAAAAAGTAAGAACTATTAAAAAGACTAATAAAGCATGAAATAAGAAGTATAAATATAACCGAAGAGAAAGACAGTAAAATTAATTAAATCATAAAGACTATTTTAAATAATATTTCTGTTATTTCCCACTAAAATATTACAAAATACCAGATCATTTAACTTTTAACTATCAACAAAAATGTAATATAATATGATGTACAAATTTCTTTATCGATTAACTTGTTTAGATAATGAATGTTTATTTGATATATATTCCGACTGATACAGCAGAGCAGTATAGTATTATACATAAAGATGTTGTTAAAGATATCTTTACTTAATTGGTCTACTATTATAAGGTATAGCGTATTTGATAAAATTACTGTCTTTACAACTTGGCAACTCAGTGAATGGATATAATGATAGAAAACTGCAATTTATGTTAGGGTTTAAAAATATTACAGAGTAGTTATAGTATAATAGAGTAGTCATGTAGAAATCTACAATTAAGTTAAAAAAATTACCAGAGCACCATGCCGCAGTAGAGCCATCTCTAGGATCAGAAATAAATTAATCGAGGGTGAAGATCAACCTTAAAAATGTTCAAAACATAAACAGTGTTGTTATCCTTAAAAATTTCATGGCTTTTGCATAATATAATTCTGTTGAAAATATGTTTATTTTGACTTTCAAATTTCACTTCAGAAATTGTTCTCAAAATACACATTATTTTGTTTTGGTACTGGATAGACAAAACACCTAGGTAGTTGTAACTAGTTGGCTTGTTATAAATCATGCATTGATTCAAGATACTCATTCCTGGATGCTGGACCTCTGTACCAGCTTATACAGGCCTAGAATATGGGTACCATATGTTTTGGAGTTGCTTCATAGTCTGAAAAGACTTTGCCACCTGCAGTCTTATGCCTTGCAGTCGTGAAATATATTGTTGACAGTTTCAGGTCATCAGCTACAGAGTCTGCAGCTTAGGTCTCTAGGAAATAGTCCCATTGTATGCAGGTATCCCTTAACTCACTTATATCGAGTAATTAAACTTGTGTAATCCTTCTGTTCATCATGTCCTTAATTGAGGACAACCTATTCTATAGTTTTTTGTATGTAGGAGCATGTGTCTTTATCCTTATAACACATTGTTTCCAATTATGTACATCCTAATCCGTCTAATGAGTACTTGTGCTGTCATCTAACAGCTTTTTGAATAAAATATTTAATTTGTTGAAATATAAATTTCTATAGTTACTTATGACTGGTGTATACATTTCACCAATTCATTTGAGTTTCTTTCGTCATAAATGTGAACAATTGGTATTGAATGTGTTGCATGGTGTTGATAAATAGTAGAATTTGTTATTTTAGAATTAAATTAAATTTAGAATTTTTTATTATTGTTAATAGCAGTTTTGCTTAAAATTAACTACCACAGATTTTCTGAAATGCATGTACTTGTTTTTGGATGTTGTGAGTCAACTGAAAAATTAATTTTCAGGTAAATAATCTTTTGTTGCAAAGTGTAAAAAATTTAAATATTTTCGAATAGGACTATAAAAATGAGTTTAAGAAGGCCCTTAACCGAATGGGAGCTCTTGCAGTTGATTGAAGAAGGGCTATCTGATATTGAATATATTACACTGGGATGCAAAATTAACCGGACACCCAGATTTTTTTATTTTTTGTTGGTGTTTAGATCAAAACTTGTTCAAATCTGCTTGAATTGTATTTTATACCTTATTAGCGATAACTTTTTTTTTTGTTTTGAACCTGTTTAGATGTTTTGTGCGAAGAACAACACTTTTACAGATATGTTTTGTTATTAATGTGAAATAGTGGCTTAAGAATTAATTTATATTTATTGTGGTACTGTACCTGATTATAAGTTGGGCTGTAGGTTTTTGTATTGCCTCCTGTTTAAAATGTGCATTAAAAAAATTATGACATCAGAAGAAGTAGCACAAGCTGTTGCTTTACAGGATGATGGGTGGAGCATTCGTTATATCGCAAATGCATTAAGAATTTCTCACAGTACAGTGTTTGATGCAATACAAAGATTTCAGGAAACAGGACAATACACCAGGAGGCCAGGTCAAGGTAGACGAAGAACCACAAGTCAAGTTGAAGATCGCTTTCTTAGGTTACAAGAGTTATACGATCGTACATTATCAGCACCAGTACTTGTTCAAGGATTAAATGATGTCCATAGAAACACAGTTTCCATTTATACCGTTTAAATACGCTTAAAAGAATATGGATTACGGTCCAGAATACCTGTCACGGGGCCTCTACTAACAGCAGATCATTGGAGGCAACGTTTACACTTCGCTCGCGAACATCTAAATTGGGGTGTTGACGATTGGAGTGCTTTGCTTTTTATGAATGAATTAAGATTTGACAGATATTTATCAGTTGGGAGGCCTAGAATATGGAGAAGAGCTAGTGAATGTTATCAGCAATGCTGTTTTACTCCGAGAGAGTTCAATTTGGTGGAGGTGGTATAATGCTGTGGGCAAGCATTTTCCTAGAGGCCGATACAGAACGTGTTACAATTTAAGGGGACAATTTGAACGCTTAACGGTATATTCAGCAATGTTGGGAAGTTCATGTAATGCCATTTGCCTCATTTTTTGGAGAAAACTTTCATCTGCTGCAAGATAATGCTCGTCCGCACATCGCAAGAATAACAAGGGATTGCTTGGATGAAGTTTGGATTCGTTTATTACCATGGTCCCCAAGGAATGCAGGCTTAAATCCAATAAAGCATGCATGGGATATTCTGGGACGACGTGTTTGACGTAACCGTGGTAAGTGTAACCATGAATTATTTGGAGGACGCAGTTCGCGACGAATGGGAGCAAATTCCTTAAGAGGGTATATTTACGCCGCAGTTAAAATGAGTGGTATTCAAATAAACTAACGTTTAACATTTTTTTTTTCAATAGATGGCAGCACGTGCATGATATTTTAATATTTTGATTTTCTCGAAATTTAATTCTCTGAACAGGGACATTGTTGCCAATGAGGCCAAGCACTGGAACTTAA